GAAAGCTTCTCTGATGAACGAAAAGATACTTAGAGAATAACTTTGACGACTGTATTTAACTTTTTGATGGCTCTGAGGACAGTGTTTGTTGAACGAGGATGTCTCAGAAGGCTTCTTTGAATAACAAAGGTGACTCTGAGAATAACTTTGATGACTCTGAGAAAGACTTTGTTGTCTTAGAATAACTTTTGATTGTTCTGAGAATAACTTTAGATATCTCTGAGAATAAGTTTGATGAACGAAGATATCTTACAGAGCAAATTTTATGTTTTGAAGAATAACCTTTGATGACTCTGGGAATAACTTTGAGGGCTTAGAGAATGTCTTTGATGAATGGAAGTGAGTTAGAGAATAACATAACATGACTGAGAATAACTTTTGATAACTCTTAGAATAACTTTGATGTCTTAGAGAATAACTTTAGATGACTTTGAGAAAGTCTTTGGATAACTCTGAGATTAACTTTGATGTCTTTGAAACAACATTGATGAATTGGAGAATGTCTTTGAGAACATGAGTAGTATTTTGTTAGCTCAGAGAATAACTTTTTGATGACATAGAGAATAACTTTTATGTCTTAGAGAAGAACATTGATGGCTTAGAGAGAATATCTTTGATGAAAGATGATGTGTTGGATTAACTTTGACGTCTCTTGGAATAACTTTTGATGACTGAGAATAACTTTTGATAGCTCTTAGAGAATAACTTTTATGAACGGAGATGTTTGAGATTAACTTTGATAGCTCAGAATAACTTTTGTGCCTCTGAGATTAACTTTGAGGATGCAAGTAAATTTTTGAGTGTTTGAGAGTGTCTTTTGATATCTCGAAGAGTCCCATTGAAGTCTTAAAGGATGTCTTTGATGTCTCAAAGGATGTCTTTGAGTGCAACTTTGATGTCTTTGAGTAAGTCCTTGATGTCTTGAAGAGTGTCTTTGACTATATTTCTTACTTAACGACATACAATTTTAGTTAGGAACAACGATGAATATGACTATTCTAGCGAAGTGAAAGGTTACTTTAGTTAAGAACAGTGTTGGAAAGAAGGCTACACATGACTATTTTAAATGAGAGAAGTGATATTTCAGTTATGAAATGACAATGAAACATGAAGAAGTAACTATTTTTTAGTTGACTGATGAATACTTTAGTTAAGGAAAAAGATAAAACATGACGAGGGAGACTAATTTTGTGCTCCCCAAAGTATAATGTCAGTTAAGAACAGCGATGAAAGATATCTTTGGTTATTTTTTCTTACTTGACAAAACATAATTTTAGTTAAGCAAAAAGACAAAACATGATGAACATGGCTTTTTCTGTTGATTGATAGATAATTTTAGTTATGAAATGACAATGAAACATGAAGAACAAGGTTATTTCTGATGAATGGGGAATATGTTTAGTTGTGAACAGTGCTGGAAAGATTCCTTTGACAATTTTTAGTTGACTGGATAATAAGTTTAGTTGAGAAATGACGAAAGTGACTATGTTTTAGTTGATTGGCGAAAGATTTTTAGTTAAGAAGTTACAAGAAAGGTTTGTCTTTGTAAATTTGGAACTGAATAAAGTGCAGATTTGTTTAAGAACATGGTTGGTAGAACTATTAAGTTGACTACGAGAATTACTTTGACATAGTTTTGCAAATAAAAACTGGGTGACTAAAATTGTTGAGGAAACTGTAATGCAGTATAATATTATTTGACAAAGAACTAGTTAGTGAATGGAAGAAACAAATTGGTTTAAAGAAACAAAGAACATAAAAAATTGAGGTTAAGTAGGGGAATGAACACAGTGAACATACGGTGAACACAGAAAACATGTAAGAAAAAGTTGATGAATACAGTGAACATGCAGGGAATATGAACTTATAGAGAATATGAAGACATGATAAGGAGAATAAGGAATACAAAGAATGAACAATGGACTTGTGAAGAACATGGAGAATATGACAAAGAATGTAGAAAACATGTAAGTGAAGGTGAAAAACGAAGTGATCTTGTGAGGAACATGAACTTGTAGAGGAACATGAATATTGACAAAGAACACAAAAAAAATATGGAAGTTAGCATGAATATTGAGTATAAAAGTTGTAAAGAGAACATGTGATGAACATGAAAACATAGAAAATATGACTAGACTTTGTAGAGAACATAATGAGACTAAGAGAAAGATTACAGAAAAAATGGAGATACTTGTGAAAATATGAACTGAATGGGACTGTGAACATTTGAAGAACATGGAGTGAACACGGATGAGAATACGAAGAACACAGTGAATATAGAGAAAATATGCAAATACAGTACGATTATTGAAGGTTTGGATACGTTGGGGAGGGGAGGGTAATGTAATTATTCTGATAAACAGATAGGCAGGAGAGGAACTTGGTCGGATATAATTATGTTCGATGATCTAAGACAGAGGAAATGTAGCTTGGTTAATGCCCTGATTAATTTTACTACGTTAGAAATAAGGTGATCTTAAATCTCATGTGATATAGTTGGAAATAAAGAACTTGTACAAAATGAACTAAGCTGGGGGACAAGAGTTGAAACTTGATAACTGAACTGGTTTTATTTACTATGTCTGAAAATGTAGTTGAGGGTTTAAATCTCAGGGGGATTTGGACTGATAGTAATGAATTTATAGGAGTGAACTCGGACAGAGGACAACAGCTAGAGTTTTATAATTGTTTTCATCATATTTACTATGTCTGAAATACAGAGGGTAAAAATTTCAGGGGAAAATTGATGGGTTATTTACAAAGATACGAGAGAGAACTAAGGTGGGGACGAGAGCTGGAGCTCAGTAACTGACTTGATCTTATTTACTAACTTTGAAGTATGTCTGCTTTTAATTTTAGGGAAATTGATGGGTTATTTACAAAGATACGAAGGAGAACTAAGGCGGGGACGAGAGCTGGAGCTCGATAACTGACTTGATTTTATTTACGGTGTCTGAAATACAGAGGGTAAAAATTTCAGGGGAATTGAAGTATTATTTACAAAGATATGAAAGAGAACTAAGGCGGGGACGAGAGCTGGAGCTCGATAACTGACTTGATTTTATTTACGGTGTCTGAAATACAGAGGGTAAAAATTTCAGGGAAATTGGACTGTTACTAACGATCTTGTATAAAACGAAATAAGGTGGGGGACAAGCGCTGGAGCTCGATAACTGTTTTGATCTTATTTACGGAGCCTGAAATACAGAGGGTAAAAATTTCAGGGAAATTGGACTGTTACTAACGAAGATACGAGAGAGAGCTAAGGCGGAGGACAAGCGCTGGAGCTTGGTAACTAAATTACTGTATTGAACTACGTTTGAAATATGATTATTTTTAAATTTTAGAGGGATTGGAATGATAGTATTTATTATACGACAGGGGACTAAGGTGGGGGATCGTGAGCTAGAACATGCTTACTAACACGATTTATTTGTGTAAAACTGACTTGCTTAATGAAAAGGAGAAAACATACGATGTTGGAAAATAGTTGAACTGAATGAAAGGAGAGAGAGAGGAGGGACGGTCCAGATATTATGGTGAAGATAAGATATGATAAGAGGCGACTGGCTGGCCGGGCGTAAGGTAAATAAAGGTGACGCGAGAGATTGAGAGGTAAGGGGGGGAGGGAGGGGGGTGTGATGTACGAACCCCTGAAAACCCTGACTTATACAGATAACTTTCTAAATTTACCTGAAAAACTATGGCTTACATAGACGATATTTGTAAGTTGAAAACATGTAAAACATGTCCGTAGAGTTCTCCTGGAAATGCTGTGACACAAACACGATTTTTTCTAAAACTTTTCTTTAAGATTTTCCTACTTATTTTCATCATAAGAAATTTTTAACAAACTTCTAAGATCTCGGAAATTATTTTTCTCATAAGAATTCCTTACTTCCAAATCTGTGACTCCCCAAATTTGCCTGAAAACCCCTAAGATCCACAGGGGATTTTTCTCCCAGAAAAAAAAAATCGTCTGTGGCTCTTACTCCCTACTACTGATGGTTACAGTGATGAAGACAGTGTTTAGTGAAGATCGTTACAGTGATGAAGACAGTGTTTAGCGAAGATGGTTACAGTGATGAAGACAGTGTTTAGCGAAGATGGTTACAGTGATGAAGACAGTGTTTAGTGAAGATGGTTACAGTGATGAAGACAGTGTTTAGTGAAGATGGTTACAGTGATGAAGACAGTGTTTAGCGAAGATGGTTACAGTGATGAAGACAGTGTTTAGTGAAGATGGTTACAGTGATGAAGGGTGTGTAGTGAAGATGGTTACAGTGATGAAGGGTGTGTAGTGAAGATGGTTACAGTGATGAAGACAGTGTTTAGCGAAGATGGTTACAGTGATGAAGACAGTGTTTAGTGAAGATGGTTACAGTGATGAAGACAGTGTTTAGCGAAGATGGTTACAGTGATGAAGACAGTGTTTAGCGAAGATGGTTACAGTGATGAAGACAGTGTTTAGCGAAGATGGTTACAGTGATGAAGACAGTGTTTAGTGAAGATGGTTACAGTGATGAAGACAGTGTTTAGTGAAGATGGTTACAGTGATGAAGACAGTGTTTAGCGAAGATGGTTACAGTGATGAAGACAGTGTTTAGTGAAGATGGTTACAGTGATGAAGGGTGTGTAGTGAAGATGGTTACAGTGATGAAGGGTGTGTAGTGAAGATGGTTACAGTGATGAAGACAGTGTTTAGCGAAGATGGTTACAGTGATGAAGACAGTGTTTAGTGAAGATGGTTACAGTGATGAAGACAGTGTTTAGCGAAGATGGTTACAGTGATGAAGACAGTGTTTAGCGAAGATGGTTACAGTGATGAAGACAGTGTTTAGCGAAGATGGTTACAGTGATGAAGACAGTGTTTAGTGAAGATGGTTACAGTGATGAAGGGTGTGTAGTGAAGACACCGGAGCAACACCCGTAATACACTCACCACACATTTGAGTGTACACCTGAGTGTAGCCGCTTATTCTACAGAGCCAAGACCTTACCTGCGTGGCGCTCAAGCTGTCGCTGGACAGTGAGGATGGTCGTGGCGAGTCGTCTCCTGTAGACTACGGGCAGCTGCGGGTCGTCCCTGACATGCTGGCCAGGGGTGGGAGCCTGGTGTGGCGTGAGGGTGTGGCGCAGGGGTGTGGCGCAAGGCGGACACTCCTTCGGGGAAGGTGAGGAATGTTCATTGTTCTCCTGATCATGTGGTTCGTGTTCTCCTGCTGGTGTGGCTGCCACAGGTCCTGAGAGTATGAACAGGTTGCTGTAACGTGCAGGTAAGATTGCAAGTAAGATCTAATTCGGAGGAGAGAGTTCGTTGAGAACTGCATTCTCTATGTGTATAACTGTAGTTAAAACAGTGTTTTTGTACGCAAAGTAACGTACTTGGGAGGGATATGAGGATAAGATTTTGGGATGTGACGGAGGGAAGAAGGCAGAGAGAGAGAGAGAGACAGAGAGAGAGAGAGAGACAGACAGACAGACAGACAGACAGACAGACAGACAGACAGACAGACAGACAGACAGACAGACAGACAGAGACAGAGAGAGAGACAGAGACAGAGACAGAAAGAGAGAGAGAGAGACAGACAGACAGACAGACAGACAGACAGACAGACAGACAGACAGACAGACAGACACACAGACAGACAGACAGACAGAGACAGAGAGAGAGACAGAGACAGAGACAGAGAGGATTACGGCTGCGGACAGGGTGGCAGAAAATTCTAATTCACAAAAGGGGAATTTAGATCATACCAAACAAGGAGAGAGTGGGGAGTCACGGCGGCTCAAGTAGGGTGTGTACGCAAGACAACCAGGTGTCCAATGGTGTCCTGGTTGGGCACTATTGGACACCTGGACAGTCGGGGTTTGATCGCCGACCTGCTTAAAGCGAGACCGTCCAGTTCAAGTGTTGGACAAACAATGATGGGAAACAAAAATATATATAAATATAAAGGCCAGCTATATATAAACGTAAGCATTATATTATGATCGACAAGACATTAGTCACTATTTGAGACAAAAGTTACTGACTAGAAAATACAAATCTCGAAGGGAAATAATGTGAGAATATGATATTAGTTTCTGACCTCAATGTACTGGGTTAAGCTTATTTCCACCATAATATAAAGGTAAGCTTATTTTTACCACAATAAAACAGGCAACACCAAGGCTACCTTCACAGAGTTTACATAAACAGGCAACACCAAAGCTACCTTCACAGAGTTTATATAAAAAAAATAGCACCAATGCTACCCTCACAGAGTTTACATAAACAAGTAGCACCAAGGCTACCCTCACAGAGTTTACATATACAAGTAGCACCAAGGCTACCCTCACAGAGTTTACATATACAAGTAGCACCAAGGCTACCCTCACAGAGTTTACATAAACAAGTAGCACCAAGGCTACCCTCACAGAGTTTACACATCTGGGACTCGGGGTGTGTGATGACTCTTTTGTTCTTGTGTCAAAATGCAACAGTTACTTTCAACCGCCTACAGTTTAAAATATATAATAACTTGTATATGTATATGTTATTGTGAATGCATGGCGCCAGTGTTCATTCCATGCTCCCCATTAACTCCCCATATGACACCCTCCACACCTTTATTTATAAATTGGTTGTCTGATTTCTGACTATTTAGAGTGACACCTGACCAGCCACGATAGTCGCATCATGGGCCGGAACTTTCTATGGTTACCGGATACGTGGAGACAATTAGTCAAAAAAACTGGATGGAGAACAGCTCCAGAAAGCTTCTCCATTTCAACTGAGACCAAATAGATATGATTCATCCGAAACAAAAGCTGTCCAATTACAGCTACAACCAGCATCTGGACGGTCAATATTACTCCGTGAGGGTCAACATTACACCGTGAGGGTCAATATTACTCCGTGAGGGTCAATATTACTCCGTGAGGGTCAATATTATTCCGTGAGGGTCAATATTACTCCGTGAGGGCCAACATTACCTCGTGAGGGCCAACATTACTCCGTGAGGGCCAACATTACACCGTGAGGGCCAACATTACTCCATGAGGGTCAACATTACACCGTGAGGGCCAACATTACTCCGTGAGGGCCAACATTACACCGTGAGGGTCAACATTACTCCGTGAGGGCCAACATTACCGTCAGGGAGGGCCAATATTAAGGGTCATTACTCCATTCCGTGAGGGCCAACATTACTCCGTCAACATTACACCGTGAGGGACAACATTACTCCGTGAGGGCCAACATTACACCGTGAGGGTCAACATTACTCCGTGAGGGCCAACATTACTCCGTCAGGGCCAACATTACTCCGTGAGGGCCAACATTACACCGTGAGGGTCAATATTACTCCGTGAGGGTCAATATTACTCCGTGAGGGTCAATATTATTCCGTGAGGGCCAACATTACTCCGTGAGGGCCAACATTACACCGTGAGGGCCAACATTACTCCGTGAGGGTCAACATTACACCGTGAGGGCCAACATTACTCCGTGAGGGCCAACATTACACCGTGAGGGTCAACATTACTCCGTGAGGGCCAACATTACTCCGTCAGGACCAACATTACTCCGTGAGGGCCAACATTACACCGTGAGGGTCAATATTACTCCGTGAGGGTCAATATTACTCCGTGAGGGTCAATATTACTCCGTGAGGGCCAACATTACTCCGTGAGGGCCAACATTACTCCGTCCTGGCCAACATTACTCCGCGAGGGCCAACATTACTCCGTGAGGGTCAACATTACACCGTGAGGGTCAACATTACCTCGTGAGGGCCAACATTACTCCGTGAGGGTCAACATTACTCCGTGAGGGTCAACATTACTCCGTGAGGGTCAACATTACTCCGTGAGGGTCAACATTACTCCGTGAGGGCCAACATTACTCCGTGAGGGCCAACATTACTCCGTGAGGGTCAACATTACTCCGTGAGGGTCAACATTACTCCGTGAGGGTCAACATTACTCCGTGAGGGTCAACATTACTCCGTGAGGGTCAACATTACTCCGTGAGGGCCAACATTACTCCGTGAGGGTCAACATTACTCCGTGAGGGCCAACATTACTCCGTGAGGGCCAACATTACTCCGTGAGGGTCAACATTACTCCGTGAGGGCCAACATTACTCCGTGAGGGCCAACATTACTCCGTGAGGGCCAACATTACTCCGTGAGGGCCAACATTACTCCGTGAGGGTCAACATTACTCCGTCAGGGCCAACATTACTCCGTCAGGGCCAACATTACTCTGTGAGGGTCAACATTACTCCGTGAGGGCCAACATTACTCCGTGAGGGCCAACATTACTCCGTGAGGGTCAACATTACTCCGTGAGGGCCAACATTACTCCGTGAGGGTCAACATTACTCCGTGAGGGCCAACATTACTCCGTGAGGGCCAACATTACTCCGTGAGGGTCAACATTACTCCGTGAGGGCCAACATTACTCCGTGAGGGCCAACATTACTCCGTGAGGGTCAACATTACTCCGTGAGGGCCAACATTACTCCGTGAGGGTCAACATTACTCCAACATTACTCCGTGAGGGTCAACATTACTCCGTCAGGGCCAACATTACTCCGTCAGGGCCAACATTACTCTGTGAGGGTCAACATTACTCCGTGAGGGTCAACATTACTCCGTGAGGGCCAACTTTACTCCGTGAGGGTCAACATTACTCCGTGAGGGCCAACATTACTCCGTGAGGGTCAACATTACTCCGTGAGGGTCAACATTACTCCGTGAGGGCCAACTTTACTCCGTGAGGGTCAACATTACTCCGTGAGGGTCAACATTACTCCGTGAGGGCCAACATTACTCCGTGAGGGTCAACATTACCCCGTGAGGGTCAACATTACTCCGTGAGGGCCAACATTACTCCGTGAGGGCCAACATTACTCCGTGAGGGTCAACATTACTCCGTGAGGGGTCAACATTACTCCGTGAGGGCCAACATTAGTCCGTGAGGGTCAACATTACTCCGTGAGGGCCAACATTACTCCGTGAGGGTCAACATTTCTCCGTGAGGGCCAACATTCAACATTACACCGTGAGGGTCAACATTACTCCGTGAGGGTCAACATTACTCCGTGAGGGCCAACATTACTCCGTGAGGGCCAACATTACTCCGTGAGGGTGAGGGTCAACATTACTCCGTGAGGGTCAACATTACTCCGTGAGGGCCAACATTACTCCGTGAGGGTCAACATTACTCCGTGAGGGTCAACATTACTCCGTGAGGGTCAACATTACTCCGTGAGGGTCAACATTACTCCGTGAGGGTCAACATTACTCCGTGAGGGTCAACATTACTCCGTGAGGGTCAACATTAGGGTCAACATTACTCCGTGAGGGTCAACATTACTCCGTGAGGGTCAACATTACTAAGGGTCAACATTACTCCGTGAGGGTCAACATTACTCCGTGAGGGTCAACATTACTCCGTGAGGGCCAACATTACTCCGTGAGGGTCAACATTACTCCCTGAGGGTCAACATTACTCCGTGAGGGCCAACATTACCTCGTGAAAACTACTTAAAATATATTTCGCCCATTATTATTCGTCTATTCTCAATGTTTATGATGATTAGTTGGGTAGTTGTGGTTCGGATGGCTGGTGTTACAGAACACGCTGAGTTATGTCTTCCTTGTCGAAGTTATATGTTCCTTGAAGAAGCTTTGAAGTTTGTGTATAGTCAGGCGTTTGTTGTTTGTGTATAGTCAGGCGTTTGTTATTTGTACAATGTCAGGAGCCTTGTTGATTGTGCATTGTCAGGAGCCTTGTTGATTGTTCTTGTTTCTCTATAAACATAAACAAAATAAACCACATAATTAATGTTTCCACCCAACATCTCTCTGTCTCCCGAACGTCGCGGGTGTTGAATCCCTCACGTTTGGGCTGGTCCATCCTCCGCCAAGAGTCAGGCTCCCTCAGTCACCCACAAGCGGTCGGAGGGGATGGATGTCACTCCGCCGTCCAGGACGTTCCTTCATCTTTACTCTCTTATTTTGGCCTTCTGCCTTATCAAAACATGCCTAATATATCACTAAACATCCGCTACTGTCGCTGGGCACACGATCAACTATAGGCAATCATTGTTAACTGGTAAAAATTGTGCTTACCACAAAATTGTCTAGTCGAGGGCGCTTCCTGGCCGATGCTCGACAGGGTGCTCACAAGTTGCCTAACGAAAATATTTCAGGACGGCTTCACAACTCACAACTTAAGGTAGGTTAGGTTA